ACAACCTCTATACAACGAAAGGAGACTGCGACCACACAAAAGGCCACACCATCTTGGTCTTCATACCATGAGATAAAAGAGTTTATTTTCTGACATATGCTTTCATACTAGCTGAGAGACAGTACCTTATAATCAAAATTCCTAGTAAACTTTTCAAATCAAACATTCTTCAAGATTTAATTCAGTCAGTAGAATAGGTATGATAGGAACATTTGTAATCAATCGAAGCAAATTATAAAAATAGCAGACTTTTATTTCAGTAAAATAATGCTCAAGCAATGGAGAGAGTATCTAGAATGAGTCGGTAGAAAGTGGTCTTAGGCTAATTCCCGCATGGGATTGGCCATATGAAGTGGGGTTGAGAGAAAGAGGTGCGGCACTAGAGGGTAAAAAAAAATAAGGGCGAGGAGTGATGCCACAACGGTTGAACAGAAAATTGGTCAATGGAATTACCTTTACTTGTCACTTCGATAAGTTGTAACTCTGTGCTTACGATGGCGCCTCACACTGAGATGTCGACTACGATGCCGGCGAAACGTTTTGGAATGTACCCAACCAATGGTCTAATGCTGAAAATCACGAATATTATGACAGAGGATACGGGACTAGGTACGTTCCACAAAGTATCCCTGACGCGCTGACGAAGTTACGAAAACAAGGTCGAATCAACACTAATTCCCGCATGTTATATTGAGTTCAGGCCATATTCGGAGGAAAGGATTTGAAGATGAAAGTAACGTGCAACTATTCCGATGAAAAAGGCAGTGAAACTAGACTACGTAGTGGGAAATAGGAAATCTTCATGCGGAGGTAATAAATTCATAAAAATGGGGTGAAATCAGTCTTAACAACGAAAATACTTAGCACAATACGTATGGCCAGCCAAACTAGGCCAGGTTTTAGTGATTGATAGCTTTGTGGTGCTATCCCGGTGCAGGAGTTAAGATACTAAGCTTTTTAATGGAATCCTGATTGATATAGCTGAATTTAAGTGGATTTGTAAAACCCCGATCGAAGGATAAAATGTAGCATACGATGATTCAAATCAATGACGATCTGTGACTTACTCAAAGAGCAAAATTCCGCAAATGAATGTTAGATAAAGAGGAATACAGTTTGATACCATGTTTTATAATAAATATATTGTAGCGCTCTTCTCAGACAATGCTTTGCGAAGCAAACAGTAAGGCACAAATCTAAGCACACAAAGGAGAAAAATGGTGAACGAGTAGCTGAATACCTTTCCATCCACTCTCTGAATGGCATGGAGTCCCTCCACTTCTATCTTTGTCGGCTAATAGACTGGGCGTCAGAAGAAGGCAACAAGGAGTGGCAAGTGGTTGCCCTTCAACTGAATCCCCTGTTCGCTTTGAAGCTGTCGAGTGATCCTCCAGCTGAGCTTGCCTATTCTGCTCAGCCAACACCTTGCTTAGTGCCAAAACAAATAGGTGCTGTTCCAGCCGGGTTTGCGCAGTCAAGATTCCTTGTTGATCCACACTATCGGAGCAGCTTATAGAACTAGTATCAGTATTTACGGTATATGCAGTAGCGAGAGACGTATGCTGAGATTGCGTTTCGACTGAGCGACTTGGAGTTTTCCATGGATCAAAAAGATAGTTGGAAGAATTAGGTAGGGCTGAGGCAGGTAGGCTGATAAGACGCCAGGCAGACAAAGAAGATAGCTGAGCCTCATGACGAACGTCACCACCAGAGATGAAGGGGAAAGAAGAGTGGGGACTAACGGTTGTTCGTCTAGCAGGCTCTTTCTTCCGCTGCTTCCGTATAGCAGCTTTTCGGGTGTTCATGCGAGTGCCAGTCACTGGGGCTGAAGCAGTCCCAACAGAGCGGCTAGAAAATTTAAGACAAGTGCGATTCAAAGTTAACGTAGTTTCATCATACACATCTTTCCGATCGTATACTAGCACTCGGTGGCGAGGGAGTGGTCCAGGGATGGGAGAGTGCAGTGGCCGGACATGGCAATCCTTGAGTGATGAATAGTAGCAAACAGGGAGGGACCAAGAAAGAGAAAAAGCGCAAAATGAATTACGAAAGCGCATAAGAGGCATGAGAAAGCCGGAGCAAGCGATATGAATATGAAAATTCTTAAATTCCCAATCCAACCACAGCCAAACATAGACATAAATGCAAGTAAATTTTTGTATTTATTTATTTATTTCAAAACAGATCAAAATTATTTTTTTATCTTAAATTTTTCCCTAGGTCACTAATAGCTAAATGGCATGAGGAACGTTCATTCCTAGGTATCATAGATAAGAATAGCTCTCGCTAAAGTATAAGCAATGTAAATGAAAGTAAAAAAACCAAAGCATTATTATCAGCATGACTTTATCAAGTATAAATAATTTCGTTGCAGAGGAAGGAGCTTCAATGATCCCTACAAAGATAGAAGAAATATAATTGCTCGATGCAGATGCTTGTAAAAATTTAGGTTATATATGTTTAATGGTAATAATGGATTAGCATTCATGTATTCTATCTGGTCTACGTAAGGTAACTTCGCTGTAGGATAGATTAAGCAGGAAATTTAGTTTATGAACCGGATGAAAGGAAAACCATTCAGGATTGTACAAAATAAAAAGGGCAAAAAGACGAAGGTGTTTTAAGGTTTAAAAATATAAGAATAATACAAAAGCGAATGATCTCGCATCTATGTAGTCTACAGTAACTAGTATTAAGAGAGCTAAGAAATGCATTCTTTATAGAAATTTTATTCTCAAAGATGCATATGGTGTTGCATTGGCCTTTATGGGTGGCTTAGAATCCGAATAAACGTAAGAAATCAAATCGAAGATATTGTAACAATAAAAAAAATTGCAAAGTTTTTACCTGTCTTTAATTGCTACTCATAGCAATGATTTAAATCTAATGAATGCATATTTAAATATTTATTTACTGGGTTGGGCTGACGATTGCAGCAGCAGGTA